CCAAGGTCCAGTGTCACAGGAACTGGTTTCTTAAGGGCAGACCTGGGCCCCTTTATCTTCTCCCCCCAGCCCCACAGTCTTCCCTCCACCCGCTATCCACCGCATCCTGGAGCATCACCCTTGTTTCCGTGAGCAGGTGACAGGGGGGGACGCATGCAGGGGCGGGGGTTCCCGCTCCCCAGTGTGTGCTGGGCAGGGGAAGGTTAAGGAGCCAAGGCCAAAGCAATTAGCGCGGTGCACGTCCCGCACGAGCCCGAGAGCCACCGCGGCAGCCGGCACCGCTCAGGGCAATTTGTTCCGGTGCTAATTACAACACCAGGATAATGACGGTGTGGCCAGGCTTAATTTCTCTGATATTAAATAGGAAAGAAGCCATGAGACACCGGCCCAGATGGAAATTGGCCCAGGTCTGTCTCTGACACCAATTATCAGGAAAAAGGATTGGGTGGGAGAGAAGGTGTCAGGGTGGTGACCGAGGCAAGAGCCGAGGAAGGAGGCAGCTCCCACGGCCACCAGTCACCACCAGCTCCCCGGGGAAGCCAGCCTGGTGGTCCCTGGAAGTCCACAGTGGCTGTCGGCCACGCCCCTTACAGCAGAGAGGTGCCAGGGGCTGGGGGGCAAGGGGAGCCTTGCTGAAAGGAAAGGGGCAGGGAGGAAAGGAGGGCTTCTGGATAAAGGAGAGTTCATTCCAGCATTGGCCCCACCGCCCCCACCCACTGCAGAGCGTGGCCGGCCGTGGTGGCCACGGGGGTCCCAAACTGATGCCACTCGCCCCCAGGCCACTTAGCACAGCAGGAACCTCTGCCCGCGCAGGCCTGGTTTTCCCCTGCGCCCAGACTGTAAGGTCCCTGAGGTGGGGGGCGAGCTGCGCCCCTCCGTCTCTCCCAGCACAGAGCCTCAGCCGGACAGGGAGGGGCCGGCCTGCCCTGAAGGCCTCAGCTCTGCTCAGAGGGCCTGCCGCCCCAGGACAGGGAGGGAGAGAGGGTGTCAGACCTGGGGGAGGAGGTCAGCACCCCTTCCAGAAGCGGAGGATCAGGGAGAGGAGGGGGACCGGAACTGACACAGCACTTAAAAGTTCCCTAGTGACCTGATTTTCAGGGGAGGGAGCGACCCTGCCCCCTCTCTGTTGCTACTAAATGTTTTATTAGGATGTGAGCAGGGAGACAAGTGAGGAACCAGAGCCTTTCCCGGGAGTGGAGGGGACTGAAGCCCCAAGTGCATAAGGGCATTGTCATGACCCGTGTGCACCCCACGAAGCCATCTGCCCAGCTGGGTCAGGGCCTTTGGGGGATCTGTCCTGGGACTTGAGAAGCAAGCCACCACCACTGGCTGGCACACATACTCCTCCGTCACATCATCTGTACGTCGGGGCCTCCATGTGTCACAGCTGGCAGGGCCCTTAGGCTCCACAGAACTCAGCTGCTGCATTTCCTAGATAGACGCTGAAGCCCAGAGGGGACAGGGCCAGACCCAGGGTCACCCAGCCAGTCAGCGATGGCACCCTTGCCTCTGCCTCCCAGGGCCCGAGCGTGGTTGTCACTGCAGCCACCTTGGCCCTGAGCCTTGCTGGGGGCGGGAGGGGGTGTGGCCAGTCCTGCCGCTGGGCTGCTCCACGGGTGAGCCAGACCCCAGGGGCCTCACCCTCCGTCCTGCGGCCACGGCCTCTCCTGCTTGGGATTTTCTGGTGCTCAGGCTCAGGGCCTCCCTGCTGCCCTCTGCATCCCCGTCCCGGGCCCCCACATTCCATCCTGTGGGGCCCTTCTCCCAATAAGCCCAAAGAGAACAGGCCCCCATTTCAGGCCAGACTTTCCAGCAGCTTCTGTATGGCTCATTTGGAAACTATTTCTGCTTCTAATGAGTGTTTTTCTTTGTGCCCTTGTCCTCTAAAATGCTTAATGAATGTTTTCTGTGCTCGAGCGAAGCGGGGGGTGTGTCCCTGTGTGTCTGCCACCGCCATGCGGGGGGCTGTTAGGCTGCTGGGGCGGAGACAGCCAGGAGCTCCTTCCCGACCCACAGAGGCCCATGGGCTCGCAAGTACTGCCGAGCAGACACGGGGACCCCGCGGCTTTGGGGGTTCTCGGGGCTGGGGGCTCCTGATGGCTGGAGGATGGCAGGTGTTTGGGCTCCACGGAGGAGCCAGGTTCTAGCCCTTCCCTGGCAACCCTGAGCATCGGAAGCTGTGACCGTACAGCCAGGCCCCACGGGCAGTGAGTCCTGGCCAGATGGTGCCCCGGACCCTCACCACGGGCCCCGTGTCCCCCAAGAGAAGGCCAGGCTCTCAGGAGGCCCATGGTCACCCGGCCAGTGGAGGGCACCCCTTGCGGCCCCATCTGCCTCCCGGAGGCACCAGTGTCACCGGCTCTTATAGGGAGGGGCTACCTGGTCCCAGATCTTAGGGCACAGAGGTGGCACTCCGGGCCTTTCACCCCACACTCTCTCCTTCCTGCCTGCTCCTGAGCTCAGCTGCCCCCCCCCCCACAGAAGTAGGGTGCTTTCTGCACCAAGTACCACGGCAAAGAGACCTTCACAGAGCCAGCCCAGAGGAGGGCAGGGTGTCGGGGGCTAGTTCTAGGCTGCCCCGGCCCGACTAAAGCCCCCAGCCCAGGAGCAGAGGGAGGCCTCAACCACACGTCTCCCTGCCTTGTAGGAAAGGAGGGAGACCCCCGTCTTTGCTTGGGCAGAGCTCCAGTCTCCCCTCGCAAGTGCTGCTGGGAACCATGTTTGCCCACCCGGTTGGTAAGGCCTGGGGTGGAGCTGAAGCCTTACATCCCTTCGTCGGGTTGTGGGCTCACAGCTGGCATCGCATCCTCAAGAGAGCGTCTTTCCTGCCAGGAGGAGCCGCTGAGGAGAGGGGGGAGCCAGCAGCCAGCATCCCCACCCTGACCCAGGGCTCTGCAGCCTTGCAGACGGGGCCCCAGAGAGGCACCTGTGCTCACATTCTGGGGACATCCCAGTGAACAACTCCATTTCAGCTTCTACACCAGACACAGGCCTCGACCCCAGTGTGTCCCGAGGGAGCCCGGCCTCCTTCCTCCAGGGCCTCTTTACTCAGAGCAAGCGGGGGTAGGGGGGTGTACAGAGTCCCAGGCCTCCCCAGCTGGCCGGGGAGCAGCCGTGGGGGGGACGGGCCTCCTCACCCGGCACTCAGACTGTGGCACCCCTGGGGGCATCTCTCTGCGCTGCCTCTGGCTCTCCAGGAAGGGTCCTCGGAGCTCACTGCTACCCTGAAGTGGCAAAGTCGGGCACGGTTGGGTCAGGTGGAGGCATCCTGCGGGCTCGTGGACCGCTTGCTCCCGGCATATCGCCCGGAAGGCTGCCCTTTGGGGCACCAACTTGGCCCAGAGTGGGTGAGTGAGCACCGCGGGCCCTCTGGGATGGTGTTTATTTCAACCCCTTAAAATAGTAAGGTTGGGTCACCCAGGGGAGCACCTTTTAGCGGTTCGCCTCTGGGCAGTTTACCGAATTTCTCGGAGCCTCGGTGTCTTCATCAGTAAATGGTGACAATAATAGGGTCACTGCACAGGGCTGCCTTTGGGAATGAATCTAAACGCGACGTGGTGCGTG